GCGCCGGCTCCGGCTCCGCGGACTGGGGACTGGCGCCGGGGCACACGGCCTTTGTCCCGCCGCTGCGACGCAGCCCCGGCCAGTCTTGCCGTGTCGCCCCCGGGCAGAGGGACCTCCTGCGGGCTTGGGGGGCGGACCCCTCCTGCTGAACGCAGAGGTGTCGCAGCCGACGCTCCTCGGTTTCGGGTCCCCGTGCGTGAAGGAGGCTCTGCGGCAGCTGCAGGGGGCGCCTTGGTGACGCCGTCATGTACCGGCAGTGGTGGAGGGGTTTAGGGCCGGCGGTGAAGTTGCCCGGGAGGGGGAGGGAAGCGCGCCGGGAGCGGGGCCGGAGGGGGCGTGAGTCCTGCTGCCTTAGTGAGGAGAGGGTGGCGGTCGGAATGCCCTGTCTAAAGTGGGTCTGAGGCTGTTCACTTGGCTGGGCTCGAGGCGCTCCGGGCGAAGCTGTGACAGACCGGGCAGGATCGGAGGCTTCTTGGTTGAGGGGCGGGGGTAGCGGTGAGATGAGAAAACGTCTGGAGCTGGGCTGTGGGCAGTGCCCAGCCCCTCCTACCCCACTGCAGGCTGGGGGGCATATGAGGAGGGTCTTGCAGCCTGCTGGAGCTGGATGGGGTCCCCGAACAGGAGTGGGCGTGGCTGCCCAGAGAAGGGTCTACAGCTTGGGGAAGGCCTTCTGCATACCTCCCGTGCCTCCCCACTCCCCCTGCCGGCAGGTCTGCTGGGGTCCAGAATTGACTAGTAGGGTGGGGAAGCAGCCCCCTTCCTGCTCTTCCAGACCTGGGCCTGTCCCTGGTGTTTTGGTGACCCTGGTGCCTGACAGTGTCCACATAGCCACGCTCCAGCCCGGGCCAGGAAGGCCGGTGGGGCTAACTGTCTGCCCTCGAATTAGCGGGAGTATTCCGGGGGCAGCTGGATCAGCTGGTGCAAAGCATCTGGGGTGTGGCTTTGAAGGCAAGTTGAGCAGGCAGTCTGGACTACTGTGTGAGCAGCAGAAGCTTCTGGAGAGATGGGCTTGGCCTGGTGCCACAGTCCCTCTGCAGTCTCCTTGGGAGGGCTCTGGGGCTGCCAGTCACAGGCGGCTGCCAGGCTGGGCCTGGACAGATGCGGTCCACGTCCAGCATCAGAGATGGTGATCACTGCTGGAGCGAGGGTCTTGGGCTAACGCGTTGGGGTGACAGCTGGTGGGGTGGCTGCTGGGTGGGGAGGCCGTTAGGAGGTTACTTGTACCCTCCGCAGGGCAGGGAGCTCTGGTTGTGTCAGCAGGCAACAGGCGGTGTGAGCCTCAGAGATGTTTAAGCCATAGACTGGTGGGGCTTGGTGAGGGAAACTGGAGTGACCCCAGGAGGTCTGAATATGGAGCGGAGAAGATGGACACGCAGGCCGCCGCCCAGCAAGAGGAGGGGCCACTAGGGTGCAGGGGTTTTAACCTGAGAGGCAGGAGCAGAGGGCGGCTGGGGGTTCGGGGGCAGGGCCCAGAGGAGAGGCTCTAAAGGGACTGGGGGTGGGAGAGCAGGCCTGCCGCAAAGCAGCCCTTGCCTCTGCACCCCAAAGTCCTGGGGTCTCAGGAGGAAAAGGTGCCCCAAAGGCGGAGGGAAGAGAGAGTTCTGGAAGGATGTGGGCAGCTGTCAAAAAAGCAACAACTGACCAAGGAAGAGAAGAGGGAGTCCCTGGCCAGCTGAGGAAGCAGCCTCAGTGCAGCCGGGAGGAGTCAGTGGGAAGAGGGGACAGGCTGACTCCTCGCAGTGGGGAGGCGAAAGGCGGGGATGGGGGTGAAGAGAGGGGTGGGCTTGGCAGCTCTGAGATGGCTGGGGGGATGCGGGACATTCCTTCCTGCCTGGCCTGGTTGTTCCCTTTTCTCCACCCACTTAGCTGAAAAGGTGGGGGCGTGGGGTGGGTTTGACATGACCAGAGGGGAATTCTGTTAGTCTGCCTTGCACACTTCCAGGGCCAGGGAGCTCATCCTCTCTCCTGATAGACGCCCCCCAGCTGTTCAGCTCAGATCAAGGGAGCAGGGGTGATTTTCAGGAAGTGTGGGGATGCCCTGCAGGGCACACCTCTGCCCGGCTGATACCCAGGACCGGCATACGATACGCGGGCCCAGGCCGTGCTGGGCCAGTGCCGGGCAGAGGGGAAG